TAACTTTTTGTAATAAATAAATTATTTATATGATTTAGTCTTATCTAACTACTGCTCTGTTTTGATAATAATAGCATTATTATGTATTCAATCTCTAAAATACTTTTATATAAATCATTTATTACAAAGAATTATTTACTTTATAATCAATTATAATTATTATAGATAGGCCTGTTTATACACATACACATATATATTGTGTGTAAGTGTGTGTATGTGTATAAACAGGCCTATCTATAATAATTATAATTGATTATAAAGTAAATAATTCTTTGTAATAAATGATTTATATAAAAGTATTTTAGAGATTGAATACATAATAATACTATAATATTATTATCAAAACAGAGCAGTAGTTAGATAAGAATAAATTATATAAATCATTTATTTATTACAAAAAATTATCTACTAAAACTTTGTAATTATTATATTCATAAAAGATTTTTATATATTTTTAGATTATAAATTTAATTATTTTTACTTTTGTAATGTATAATATTTTTAAAAAATTATTATATACGTGTGCATATATAAAAGAATGCAATGTAGAAAAGAGAAAAGAGACAGATAGATCGATAGATAGATAGATAGATAGGTTAATCGATAGATGATAGATAGTTCGATAGATAGACAGATTGCTAAATAAATCAATAGGTATGTGTATATATTATATATATGTATATATATATATATATATATATGTATGTGTATGTATGCATATATAGAAAATGTATATAAATAAACTAACCTGTACATCCAGCCCTTCTTGAAGGAAACTCTACGTTTCGAAAGGGGCAAATGTTTGGCGTCATATTTTCGTCCCATGGTGTGGACAACACACAAACTCAAGTATACGCTGCTTTTTACGCGTATGAACGTGTATAGCACCGCGCGACGTGAGTGAGGCGTCGCACAGTAGATCATATCAACGTATAATACGCGCGGATTACTGTGGTACATACATACTACTGATACCGCGCGAATACGAAAGATCTGACGCGCATTTTTACGTACATAATAAATCGGAATATTTGATAAAAAATATATATATAAAATATATGATGAAAAATATATATATATATATATATGTATGTATATATATATATATATATATATATATTAGGTCCTTGAATAAGTTCTCGCTGTTTTTTTTGTTAAAAAAAAACATTTATTTAAAATATAAGGCTTACAATAACTTTACTCAAAGTATTGTCCATTATTAGAGACCACACAGCAATGCCTCCAATTCTTCGTCTTCAAACTTTGTCGGTGCTCCAGAACGTTCTTTATCTTCAAGGTCAAAGTCATTATTTTTAAAGCGCCTAAACCAGTCTCTGCATGTCGTATTCGACAGAGCATTGTCACCATATGTTTCAACAAGAATTCTGTGTGCTTCAGCTGCAGATTTCTTTTGAATAAAGCAGTGCAATAAAATTCCCCGCAAAAACACTTTATTTGGCACAAAAGTAGACATTTTCGCAATAGGTAATTAAACACGTGGTTGACACTGTGGTAAACTATATCTACTAGAATTTGAGGTTACATATAGTACTACTTAGCTGATGCGTTTCCGTACGAAATTCCATGCACAGAGTGCCGCTACGCCATCTTTTAAGAAACAGCGAGAACTTATTCAAGGACCTTATATATATATATATATATATATATATATATACATATATATAATATTGGCATATTATATCTACATACTTTAATTTTTAGAAAGCATATTTTCTCTCTCTCAAATCACTCGCATACAATTATGAACGAGCAATTTGAAAGAGAGAGAGAGAAGAGAGAGAGAGAGAGAGAGAGAGAGAGAGAGAGAGTGTCAGAAGCACGGTCGTATACACACCGTGGTCAGAAGACAAGACAGCATGAGAGAGACGAAGATAATATGACTGTCTGTCCTTGTCTAACTGCACGATTGCAGCTCCATCTATCGCGACATCGCGCAATTAATTTTCTGCTCTGTATTATTCCCAAATGTCATTTCGCAAATACACATGTGAATGAAATATTCCAACACCAAGATCTTTTTTATTAGACTTCTAAACTTATTTCTGTGCAAGCTTACTAATATTCCTTTATGCAATCTTTTGGACGAAGCGGTCTTATTTTGTACGTATAAATTGTGAAACTTTTATACAAGCAAATATTGTTATGACGTGACGCGAGAAACCAGAAAAAAAACTCGTATTTAAAAATTTTTTGTCTTTTTATCACAAATTGAGACAGCTGCGTACTTTATTATTGTATTAACTTTAATCGTGGAAAAGCATTTGTTATTCTATTAACGCAATAAAAACTTCTTGGTGTTGGAAAAATATAATTGTTCGGCCGGTAAAAGTAGACCTCCGGCATCCCCTTAAGCAATTTTACAACTTTTTAACCATAAGAACATAGTGGCCACCATGAAAAAAATTTTATAGCCATTCGCCGATTTTTGTCATATTCAGGGTACTCCAAAGTTGAAAAGAACGTGAAAAACAAATTTTGTTGTTGTACTGTACAATTGCTTTTTAGGTCAAAATAAAGATAGAAAAAATCTATAATTTTTGTTATTTTCATTCATTTGTAACTAGTCTACTACATATTTCCGCAAAAATTTTGACAATTATTCCAATCGATAGAGCAAAGTCTCAGCTTTAATCATTGTTTTTTTTAAATTGTGGTACAATGATTTTCAGCAAAGTTATAAACAATTAAAGTCATGCTCATTTTTTATTTAATTAGCGATAACTCAGTAATTAAAACTCATCAAATAGTATCTTATATGGCAAGTGCAGAAAACAACGAATTACGTTGCGCATGAAGTTGTCGCATAAGCCGAAGGCTGTATGGACATACACCATTACATAAAACCCGAGAATTGGTTTCTCAGCGTTGGCAACACTGAAACCGGAGTTTCGCGTTGTCACCGCATGAGGCCTCCAACATCAATTCGAAGTTTGTCTGGATCGCCTGCCGATCCTTTATCGCCAAAATGAAATGTGAGATTTGGACAATTATTAATATGAAATGTAATGTATTTATCTCTCAATTTTTCGGTAATAAAATCTTTGTGACAGATTCAGCTGCTTCTATAAGTTCTAGAGGCGTAGATAGTCTTGTGAACACTCGTTTCTTTTATCTATTTTATCCTTCTTGAATAATGAAGGTTATAACGAATTGACGTTTTGTCTCGCATGAATTTTGTTACGTTCAAGTTTGTTATGTCAGTCGAGAAATGGTAAAACAAAAACAAGGTTTTTTACGCACTAGTGCGAAAAAGTAACTCATATTACCGCACTAGTGCGGTAAAGTAAATCATAAAGATGCTTTTCTCGCACTAGTATGATAAAGTAAGACATACATTGAATCGTTGAGAAATAAGCCATTTTCCACGCTAAACAGCAATCGAAAATCGAACTTTTGCAACAGATGTTGCAAAAAGATTTTTAAAAAAACAATGTTGTTAAGAAAACTTCAAGCTTTAACACCAAAGACTTCAAAAACTTTGTAATTTTTTTTACACACGTTGTAGGTCGGCAAAGTAGGCAGAAAATTTCTAATTTTGTCCAAGTCGTAGTTTTCTGCGTGTAAAAATTATCAAACTAACAGAAATTTTAAAAAATTGGAAGTTTATTTATATAAAGTAGAGATTTAAAACATAAAACCTTTTTTTAAAATTTGAATTTCGTTTATTTTTAACGAAGTTACAGCTGATTGAATTTTAACTATTTTTTAAGGAAAATTTAAGCATTCCTCTAATTTTTTTGATTAGTGTATTTTAATTCAGATTTACAATGGATTAATTACATAGGTCGACAAATTTTAAAACCCATAGATTAGACTAACAAGGGAACCATCACAAGAGTCCGACACCGATTTGATTTTCCTTGAAATATGTTATAAAGTATACAAATTTAAGGTACACGTATTTTTTTTATACCTGCCTAATCGAAAGTTTAGGGAGTGATTCACCCTTATGAAAAAATGAATTTTTTCTTTTATAAAGAAAACTAAATTATTTAGAAATTATAAAGAAAACTAAATTGGCCGAACACTTATGATACTTCTTCCAGTTGAGCGTTTCTTATAAAGGGAGGTATGTGTGTTTGTATCACATTTTTAACAAAATTTATTTTCCGAAAAAAAATGTATGGCAATTTTGTACCATATCATAGAATTTGTTATAAAATTTTCTACAATTTGCTAATAACAAAAATATATAAATTTTCATACTTGGACGGGGAAAGATTTCGAAAAAATTTTAATTTTTTAAAATTGGGAGTGCACAGGCATAAAGTGCATAAAAACCCGAGTTACTTTTGTTTCAAACATTTTTTTATATCTCTTTTTGTGTTTAGATGATATTATTCTCTTGGAAAAGAAAAAATTTATCTTTTCATAAAGGTGAATCACCCCCTAAATCTTCGATTGGGCACGTATAAAAAATACGTGTACTTTTTATATATTAAATAGGCATTGCATAATCTTGAAAAGAAATGAAATAATAACTGCAGAATTATTAATGGCAGTAAAATTATGTGACAAAATTATAATATTTTATATTCCCGGATAGCAATGCCTGATTATCAGATTGCATTGACATGATCTTCTGGTTTTGATTGAAATGTGTTGTATATCTTGTAATCATATTATAATGAGATATTATAAGCACAAGTTACATACATTTGACGAAAAATGTGAGCTCAAATATTAATTTGAGCATTATTTATGTACTCATATTGACATTTTTTGCAAAATTTTAAAAATAAATATGACCGTGTTTTGAATAGCATATGAGCCTGCATCTCTGTCAATTTTTGTCATTATGTTTGTAAGAATATGAATACAATATGAGTACAGAATGCATATGTTTTGCTGTCTGGGTTCTTATTATAAGTGCATAATACTCGTATTGTGTAACATATGTATACAATATAGTTTATACTTTATTATTACAAATTGTAAATATATATTTTTTTACAGTTTAACATCCAATTACATTAAAAAATTTTATAATGAAATTTGAAAAGATTGTAAATGATGAAGTACTGGTGAAAAAACCACATAAGATTGAATGGCAAATTATTTGGGCAAATGTTATTATTGTCATATATATTCATTTTACTGCCCTTTATGGAATATATTTAACCATTTTTTATCCTATTAAACTTTGGACTTTCATCTGGTGTACGTATTTCATTTATTTAACCTATTATTCCATAATATTTATAACTACACACATTAATAGAAATAATATAGTAAATTATTAGCAAACGTTTATTTTGAATTAATAAACTTTATAAGAATTCCATATAATATATACATATTAATATAGGGGATTAATAATTTGATAAATTTCTCAAAAGTAAATTGATCAAAATGTTCAATTCTCAATTTAAGAGTTATTTTTGTGGTATCATATCAACGAAAAAGTGCCTTGAGCACACCATCGATGAATTTAATTTCATCGAAACTAATGTGCCAACATTCGACTTTCGTGCTTATTTTATGTTTAATATGATTAAATGAAAATTTACAGTCTTCGCTGTTGGTATATTTTCAAATATAGGATCCACTGCTGGCGTTCATAGATTATGGTCTCATCGGTCTTATAAGGCAAAGTGGCCGATGAAACTTATTCTTATGATTTTCCAGACTATTTCGTATCAAGTAAGTTTTAATTTAACTTTTTTTCTTTCATATTAAGTATAGTAAAGGACTCACACTTATGTATATGGGCTATTGATTAAAGTTTTACATTTTTGTTTCTTTTAAAGCGCAATAAACAATCTATGAAGGTTGTAGGAAAAGTACGAACTCGGCCTCTGAATTCGAACAGAAAAACTCTAAAAACTTATCTGTAAAAAAATAAAAAAGGCGCTTAGTATGGGCTTACCAGTAGTGAAAATTTACGCATGCAAACCCATGTAGAATCCTATGAAAAATTAATCATTGCAAACCCATGTAGAATCCTATAAAAATTAATTATTGCAAACCCATGTAGAATCCTATGAAAATTTAACCATTGCAAACCCATGTAGAATCGTACTACAAAAGTAATAATATTAAAAAAGAAAAAAATTGCGCCAAGTATAAATAGACACTTGTACCAATGGAAAATTCAAATTGCAAATCTATATAGTCGTATGATGAACTAGTAAAAAAAAAAATTTTAGTTAAAAAACTTGGGACGCTATTGTAAGAATAAAGTGATAAAGGATGACTAAAAGGAGCAAGAAAGATCAGATTTTAATGAGTCCAATATATATATTTCGTAGTTTAATATTTTTAGTCAATCTTACTTCGGCGATGGCTCGAGGAAGACTCCCCATTTTCGTTGTCCGTACTTAGAACTTTTTCCCCTACTTTCTCGCAGGCTCTCGTTTTCCTACGTCTCGCGTAAACACGTATTGTTCGCTTATTATTCTCTTCGACTTTCACATTCCTTTCTCGCTCGATCATCGCTCTCGTTATTATTTCTACTACACATTCAATTCTGTGCAAAAACCTTCGATTAAATTTTTTTCTCACAGAACGGAAAACATTTATTTGATTACTGGTTCGACTGTTTGTACGAATTAGGAAGGATGTGATCTGGATAAATTACTCGTGGTTTGTTAAATGGGTGACTTTATTCAAAATAATTAAAGTGAAAGTAAACTTGATTTGCTATCTAGGCTTTGCTCGCGAAAAACTCCACCGAGCTCTTGAGATGATCGTTCTCCACCGAGCTCTTCGGGCCGACCTCTCTTCAAAATACGCAGGATCGACGGCAACGACAGCCGATCGATCCTTCGCTTGGACGCGTGGCACGCGCGTGCCGAAACGTGATTCGCTAGCGAGGCTCGAAGGCTCGAGACAAAGGCGCGTTTTTGTCAACTTCTCGTGCTCGGAATTGAAAATACGCGGAATAACAACTCGGCGGCGAATATATTTGTGACCTTGCTTTAGCATTCTCGCAAGGCTTTTATAATTTTAAACATATCGCCCGCCTTACATGCGAACAAATGCGAAAATATTTTTACGCTCTACAAGTAAAGTACAAATACAATCGGTGCTGATATAGGAACAATAAAGCGAGAGCTAAGAGAGCGAACATTTATACAAAATAAACTCAAAATATTTCTAAATTATAAGGACGACTTACGGAACAATATAATATAAGCACTGAATACATCACAAGTCACAAAGTCCTTTATATGACAATGTTTTCTTAATTATCGCACTGAACTGACAGTCTACACAGTAGCGTGATTGGTCGTTTCAATATTGAACAACGCGATTCTCACGGTAACTACTCGAACGAGTCCGTCGGATCCGGGATGGACCCGAGTGACTCGCGCGAGTTCCCATTTGCTCGGAGGGAGCAAAGGATTTTTTAACAACGTGAGCTCGCCAACGCGAAAACAAGGCGATCTTTCTGACCACTTATATCGCTGTTGCAGCGAATGTAAGTAGTCTTGCGACCAAGCACGCCAGAGTTGTTCCACCATCGAATGAACGAACTGCCATCTCGAAAGTCGATTCGTATTTATCGCGAGTACTGATTCCTCCGGTATCGCAACGATCGGTCGGCCTATTAAAAAATGACCCGGAGTGAACGCGGACAGATCGCTCGGGTCGTCGCTAAGAGCCGCAACGATCGGTCGGCCTATTAAAAAATGACTCGGAGTGAACGCGGACAGATCGCTCGGGTCGTCGCTAAGAGCCGCAATCGGTCGGGAGTTCAAACATGCCTCTATCTGGCATAGGAGCGTAGCGAATTCAGCCTGCGACAGGGTACGCGAACCGGCTATCCGCTTTAGATGCGATTTGAGGTTTTTCACGCCCGCCTCCCAAAGTCCTTCGAAATGAGGAGCTGCGGACGGGATAAAATGCCACTCAATTTTATCGTTAGCAAGAACGTCGTGTAGAGACGAATCTTTCATGAGCGCCTCAAATTCGCTGTTTAATTCCTTTTTAGCGCCGTGAAAGTTAGTTCCGTTAGAGTATAACTTACACGGTAAGCCTCGTCGGCTCGTGAATCGCCGAAAGGACGCAAGAAATCCAGCACTGAAGCAATCCTCCACTAGCTCCACGTGGATCGCCTTGATAACGAGACAACGAATAGAACCACGTAATAACCTTTTCGTGTCTTTTGTCCTCTTCCAACGAAAGGCGTAATAAAAAAAGGACCAACGTAGTCCACACCCGTATGCGTAAACGGTGACGACGGTTGCATGCGAGGAGAAGGCAAATCCCCCATCAGCTGACTCGATACTCTAGCTGAATAACGTATACACGCATTGCATTATATGATTTTTCACTAAATTCGACCTCCTAGCAACCAATATCTTTGTCGGAATGTACGCAACACTAATTGAACTCCACCGTGGAGAGTGTGTTTGTGAGCCTGAGCGATTAAAAGGTACGAGACTTGTCCTCGCGGTACTAAAATAGGATGTTGCTCTTCGTATGTGAGAGCAGCATTTTTCAACCGCCCGCCAAAGCGAAGTACTGCATCTTCGCAACAAATGGAGTTAAAGTTCTAAGTGAACTTTTCTTCGAAACTGCGTTGCTTTTCTTTAGTGCTTTGATTTCGGATTCAAAAGCCTTCTTTTGTACGTACGACAGCCAAAATAATTCCGCTTATTAAGCTTGTTGACACTCAGCGACGAGTGGTTGATTTGAATTAACTTTCCTTTTCTTATCAATTAACGCGAGAAATCTACACACGTAAGCAGTTACTCTTATCAGCTTTGTCCAACTCGAGAATTTATAGAGCAAATCCCACTCGTCTGACCCTTCAACGTGAAGGACGGTGGGTTTTCGTTGCTCGCTAGATATCTTTATACTGCATTCATGGAGAGTGGAGCAGTAACTTCATGGATCGGCCAGGACGTGGAAGGCTCTCGAAGCCAGGGTAGTTCGGTCCACCACCGAAGATGTGATATTAATTGGACGCGGATAAGCCTCGAGACGCACAATCCGCGGGATTGTCTCTGACGGCACGTGATACCATCTTGCAGAAGGCAAATTATTTTGTACCTCCGATATCCTATTGGCCACGTACGTGGTCCACTTAGAGGGATGCTGGCGTAGCCTGCCAGCGCGATTGTTGAATCCGTCCAGCAATAGATTGGAGTTTTATTAAGTTTAACAAATTAATCGTTTACTTTATTAGGCGACTTAACAGCACGGCGGCGGTTAACTCGAGTCGCGGAATGCTCACGATTTTTACTGGAGCGACCTTTGTTTTGCAACGATCAAACTAATTGTAAAATCCGACAATGAATGAAAGACGCGAATATATACTACCGCGGGACGCTCGATTTGACGCGTCGGCAAATTCGTGGATTTCAATCGCTATATTGTCTGGATTTTGACCCGTCCATCGCGTAATTCTAATTTTCTCTAATTTATTGTATTAAAATCTGAGACAAAGTCATGCCATCGTTGTTCTAACTCGTCGGGAATGCGCGTATCCCAATTGCATCGCGAAAGCCACAGCTCTTGCAAAAGAATCTTCGCGGTAATTACGACGGGGCGGCCCAACCGAGCGGGTCATACAATTTCGCTACGAACGAAAGGATAGTACGTTTTGTTGGAGCAACGGGTTTGATTGAATTGAGGAAGTACGGCAGAGTTTTTCGATCCTCCGGGTAGCCACGAGCTGTATCCTGGCATAAAGTCCACGGCAGGAAACCAA